TCAGCAGCGCAGAGAAAGGTGTGCAAACCGCCGGGTGGACCCCCGGAGCCGCCCTTCCGTCCAGCACTGCTGCACTGGGGCGGTCTCCCATGGGAAGCTGGGGGTTGGGGGGTGACACCGGGTGGGAAAACGCCTGCCTCCCTGGCAGAAACGCAGAGTCAAGACAGGACCCCTGGGGTTGTACAGAGGTCACAGGCCCACTGGAGCCGGGAACCCAGGCCTCAGACTCCTTAAGTAAAAGGCCACAGTTTGACCTTGTGGGGGGGGGATCAGTGAGCTGATATTTAGTGAACAGCTACTACGTGTAGATAGCTTGAGACTTTATGGATGTGCCAGACGCGACCTGTGGACTCCAGGATTTTTAGGAGACACCCCACACCACGTTCCTGTCACGGGAATACATTCCCGGAATGTGAGCAGCCAGGCTATTTTTCTTTCTTTCTTTCTTTTTTGTCATTTGAGATGCTGGAGCTTAATTCAAACAAGGTCGCTGCTCATGAATATATTGCCACGCTGGCCCTACTGTGTGCCCAACTGCCAGTGAAATCTCCCCAGCGTGCTTTCCCACGGGGTCGCCTTCACGGGCTGGGTCTCCGAGCTCGGCCCGAGGCCTGGCACACAGTAGGTACGCAAAACGCAGGCCGGCCTCTCCGAGTAAGAGAGCGGGCTCTGGGCCGGGTGAAAAATCCTGGAGGTGGGGCGGCTCTGGACCCCAGCGCCCGCTGGGGAAGTGGTGGGCCCCAGGCTCGCTGCTGGCCAGCCGCAGGCCGCAAGGAAGGACAGAGGAGGAGCACCAGGCATTACCAGCAGCTCCTGCGGCTTGATGGAGTTGTCGGTGTAGATGCACAGCTTCTCGGCGGTCAGCGGGATGGTCTCCTTGAGCTTGGACGCCAGGAACATGCAGACGGCACCCAGCAGCTGCAGATGGGACTTCGGAGTCGGGACCCCGGCCAAGAAGCGGTCCAGGTAGTTCATGGCCAGAGGGAAGACCTCCTCTTCGCACTTCTGCTCCTCGCAGACCTACGTCGGGGGCGGGAGGCGATTGGGTTGGGGGGCCAGGGAGGAGCCCCAGAAGAGAAAAGGAATGGGGGGGAGCGTCATCTACAGAAAAAAATCCATTTTTTGGCGGGGCGTGGGAGGGGGAGGGGAGTCGAATGCGCGACGCGAAGAAAGAGGAAAACGGGGGTGGATGGGAACAGCCCACCCGCGCTCGGGGGCTCCCGGGGAGCCAGGAGAAGGGGGCGAACTCACGGCCCCGGGCGGGGAGGCCGGGAAACGCGCAGTGGCTGCCGCGGCCCCGCGACGCGCCCTCGGCGACTCCGTCGCGCACTCGAGCTCGCTCGCTCTTTTTTGGATTTCGTCATCTTTTCAAAAAATCGGTAAAAATATTCTGGGGGCTCCGGGGGTCTACTTCTTGGCCCCATCCGGACCCCCGGATCCCGCCCTATCATTCCCGACAATTGGAAAAATTGTCCGGGGGTGTCCCCGCGGCGCAGGGGCCGCTATCGGGGGGCGGGTGGAGAGAGGTGGGGAGGAGGGGGGAGGCGAGAAGGAAGCGCGCCGCAGCCTCGGCGGCCGCCGCCGGAGCAGGGGGGACGGCTTCAAAAAATAATTAAAAATCGAGGAAACACCCCAGAAAAGCCCTTTTGGCGTGAAAACCCCCAAGAGGACCCAGGCTCCCCGACACGGAGGTTTCGGGGGCCAGCAAGGCCCGTCCCTCGGCCCC